GTGGTAAGCCTGTGAACAGCTTCCACTCACGAGAGCTGCAACTGTTCACATACCTTCAGCTCTTGGAACTGAAATGGAGCTATTACATACGTAATTTCGATTCCATGTATAAACAGAAAAAGAATCGGAATGGCGTATTTTCTTTGAGTTCTTCACCAAGAAAATTGGAAGAATAGAAAGAAAAAAGTTATCAGAAACTTGGTTGAAAAGAAAATGAATGAATTTCGTTATTCTTTTTGAAATTTAATTTATTCAAGAAGCGTATGTGCACATTGTCAACAACTTCGCCGAGCGATACAAGCAACGTTGGCCATGAAAGAATGAAGAAAAAAGGTAGTTGGTGATGCAAAAAGAAAGAAGTACATTTCTCACTTCAAGTAATAGTCTAATAGCATCTTACTATATATAACAAAGCATCGGGTACAGTTAGAAGTGCCTGAGACATTTATTGTTCTACGATTTTTCTCAGTGTACGAGTACGTATAGAAAGCTTTACTTGCTCATCTACAGCAGTATGAATGAAAAAACTTCGAAGCATGCAGCTGCAACTGAAACATCATGAGCAACAGTAGAACAAGCGCAAAGCAACCGTGTTAAACGATGAAATTTTCAAAATGTTCTTCTTATTTGGTTGGATGCGAACATTGACCTTTCAAAAGAAGAATCTAAGAAAATCATAAGACAACTACGAACTGTTATCCATGATTTCTTCATCTTCACCACTGTTGACAAATGTGTTGATTTTCTTAGAGAAATCGACAATGAAAAAGCATTTGTAATTGTTTCCCATACTTTTGGTCAACAAATAGTACCTCTTATTCACGAATTGCCTGAATTGGACACTATTTACATATTTTCTGGTGATAATTTTAGCGACGATCGATGAGTCGAAGAATGGTCCAAAATCAAGAGTGTCTACAATGAAATAAAATCTGTTCGTAAAGTCCTTGAAGAGGCAGTGGGAAAATATGATCAAAATGATCTTTTAACAATTTTCTGTCTACGAGCAAAGATAAAGAAGCAGCTCTTCTTTATACTCAACACTACTCGATGAATATCGATTCAGTCGACATCTTGTTCAAAATTACTGTTAATCCGACTTTAACAGCAGTTTCGTTTTCTCTCGTCAGCCATGTTGATAACTTCCAGGAGGAAGCGGAAGTTTCTTTTCTCTATGCACACCGTATTTTGTTTTCAACAAGTAAACGAAATTGACAACATAGAGGGGGTTTTTTCAAGTAGATTTGAAACTAATTTCCGATGACGACAAACAACTTCGGAAGCTTACGAAACGCTTACGAGAGGAGACACAAGGAGAAATTAGATGGAGACGATTAGGACAACTATTAATTAAAATTGGCCAATATGGCAAAGCCGAAGAAATGTATAAACTATTACTCGAACAAACAAACCAGAAGCATGAGAAGACAATAATATATAATAGTCTTGGATACATCAAGAATAATCAAGGTGATTATAAGGAGGCGCTATCCTTTTACAATGAAGCACTTGATATTCTCCAAAAGAATCATCCGCCAAGTGGTCCTTTGTTGGCTGTCGTCTATAACAACATCGGCTTATTGTATCAAAATAGCGGAGAGTATCCAAAACAAATCAATTTTCTTCCATGAAAAAACGCTTAAAATTTTCGAAGAAACTCTTCCTTCAAATGTTCCATTTTTGGCTAGCACCTATAACAACATCGCCACACTCTATGAAAACTTGGGAGAATATTCAAAAGCACTCTCGATTCACGAACAAGCATTAGATATCTTTAAAAAGTCTCTTCCTAAGTATCATCCTTCTTTAGCTAATTCCTACAACAGCATTGCTTCGATGTACGATAAACTGGCAGAGTACTCGCAAGCACTTTCGTCTTATCAAAAAGCACTTGAAATTCGAGAAAAAGCTCTTCCGCCAAATCATTTCTCATTAGCGACTTCCACAAAAATATCGGCGGAGTGTATGGCGATAGAGGAGAGTACTCAAAAGCACTTTCATTTTAAGGAAAGGCATTTAAAATCTACAAAGAGGTCCTTCCGGCACACCATCCTTCTTTGGCTGCCTGTTGCAACAACATCGCTATAGTTTATTGTAACATTGGAAACTACACTGATGCACTCTCATTATTTGAACGTGCTCTTGACATATGGCAAAGTTCATTACCTGCAAATCATTCATGTATTCGAACTGCACGAGAGCACATAGAACTTGTCAAAAAGGAGTTGTAATTAAAATTCTTGAGGGAATAAAAAGAAGTTGTTTTGCACATTCAATTCTAATGATTCCTTTTACTTGTTCATGTGTGCAGAGAAACTCTTCATTTGAATAAGAACGCAACATACAAAGCCGCTGGATGAGATAAAACTAATGCAGATCAAAGACATTCAAAACATATTTATGTCCGCCATCAATAGAGCTTTTTGGTCTATGTTGGATTAGGATGGAGTATGGCTGTGGGGTGTGAGTGCGGCTTTCATCCATACCCACGTCCACATATCCACAACCACAACCATAGCAACACATCCATATCCATCCACACCCGCACCCACACCCACACCCACACCCACATTCACATCCACCCACACCCACATTCACATCCACCCACACCCACATCCATCCACACCCACGCCCACACCCACGCCCACACCCACACCCACACCCACACCCACCCCCACATCCACCCCCACCCACATTCACATCCACCCC